AGGCAAGCACTCTACCACTGAGCCACCTTCCCAGCCCCTCCGTGAGACTCTTATCTCCAATAAACCACTAGAAAACCAAAAGTAGCGCTGTGGCTTAAGCAGTAGAGCGCTCGCCTTGAGCTGAAGAGCGCAGGGACAGCGACCAATCCTAGAGTTCAAGCCCCACAACTGACCAAAAAAAAAAAGAAAGAAATAGCTACGGCTAGAGTTGTGGATATAACTTAACAGTAAGGCACTTAGCTAGGGGCTGGTAGCAAAAAAAAAAAAAAAAAAAAAGTGGAAGAAGTATGGCTCAAGAGGGAAAATGCTGAGTAATCAGAATAACCTTTGTTCAAATTTCAGTACTAGCATTTGCATACATACACAAAGTAAAATACTTAACACACACACACAGAGTAGAACACTTAAGTTGGGCACTGGTAGCTCATGACTGTAATCTTGGCTACTCAGAAGGCTGAGTTGTTTTTTGTTGTTTTTTTGCTGGTCGTGGGGCCTGAACTCTTGGCCTGGGCGCTGTCCCTCAGCTCTTCAGCTCAAGGCTAGCGCTCTACCACTTGAGCTATAGTGCCACTTCTGGCTTTTTCTGCGTATGTGGTACTGAGGAATTGAACCCAGGGCCTCATGTATGCAAGGTAAGCACTCTACCACTGAGTCACCTTCCCAGCCCAGAAGGCTGAGATTTTTAGACCAAGGTTGGAAACAAGCCTGGGCAGGAAAGTTTGTGAGATTCTTATGTCCAATTAACCCACCAAAAAGCCAGAAATGGAGCCGTGGCCCAAGTGCTAGCGCCAGCCTTGAATGAAAAAGTCACTCAGGCCAGTGCGCATGCACGCACACGCACGCACACACACGCACACGCACACGCACACACACACACACACACGAAAAGGGGGGGAGGGGGAACTGGTGGCTTTCACACATAATCCTAGCTACTGGGGAGGCTAATATGTGAGGGAATTGCAGTTCAAGGCCAACCCAGACAGTAAAGTCCATAAGACTCTTTTTTTTTTGGTTGGTGGTGGGGCTTGAACTCTGGGCTTGGGCGCTATCCCTGAGCTGAAGAGCTCAGGGTAAGCACTCTACCACTTAAGCCACAGAACCCCTTCCGGTTTTCTAGTGGTTTACTGGAAATAACAGTCTCACGGATGTCCCTGCCTGGGCTGGCTTTGAACCGCGATCCTCAGATCTCAGCCTTCTGAGTAGCTAGGATTACAGGCGTGAGCCACAGGCGCCTGGCTTCCATGAGACTCTTATCTCCAATAAACTATTTAAAAAAGCTAGACTTGGCACTGTGTCTCAAATGGTAGAGTGCTAGCCTTGAGCAAAAGCAACTCAGGACACCCACAGACAGACATAGACACAGACACACACACACAGCACGATCTAAAATAGTTATTCATTATGTGAAATGATAATATATATAAGCATGCATATATACATACACACACACACATATATGTATATATATAGTGGCCAGTCCTAGGGCTTGAACTCAGGGCCTGGGCACTGTTCCTGAGCTTCTTCTGCTCAAGGCTAATATTCTACCACTTGAAACACAGCACCACTTCTGGCCTTTTTTGTTTCCATGGTATTGAGGGAATCAAACCCAGGGCTTCATGCATGCTAGACAAGCACTCTACCACTAAGCCACATTCCCAGCCCTCAAATTCTTTTTGAAACTGATTTTAATCAGTCAAAAGACTGAAAGTAAAATCAAACTATTAGCACCCTCTTAGGTTCACAGTCCTGCAATTTAGCTCTGAATCTCTCAGAGCCCATTTTTTTGCTTTTTCCTCCAGGTCTGTGTTGAAGTCCTCTATGTCTCGAGTTCCCTGATGAATCCTTGTTTTTTTTGTCAGTTGTAGGGTTTGAATTTAGCACCTGGGTGCTGTCCCTGAGCTCTTTTGCTCAAGGTTAGCATTCTTAACTTTGAGCCATAGCTCTACATCTGGTTTTTTTAATGGTTAATTGGAGATAATAGTCTCATGGGGACTCTGCCTGGCTGGCTTTGAACTGTGACCCTCAGATCTCCGCCTCCTGAGTAGCTAGTATTATAGACATGAGCCACCAGCACACAGTTCATTGAATCCTTTTTAATATATGTAAAACTAGTGTCAAATATATGGTTTTGTTTTGTTTACAATTTACTTAGCCATACCTTCACCCTGCTTTTTGCTGGTTATTTTTGAAGATACAGTTTAGTAGATTGCCTTGACTGGCCCTGAACCAGTAGCTAATAGGCACAAAGACAACTTTGGTGTTGGTTTTTTTTGTTGTTGTTTTTTGTTTTTTCGGTCATGGGGCCTGAATTCTGTGCCTGGGTACTGTCCCTCCGCTCTTCAACTCAAGGCTAGTGCTTTACCACGAGCTAGAGCACCACTTCCAGCCTTTTCTGTTTATATGGTGATGAGGAATCAAACCTAGGGTCTCATGCATTCAAGGTAAGCACTCTACCACTGAGCCACCTTCCCAGGCCCTGGTTTTGTTTCTTATTTCAGTTTTCCATGTATATATTTCTTAATTTATTTAGCTGGACCCCTATCTCCCTTTGTGTGACAGCACTGGGGTTCAATGTAGAACCCTGAGCTTATTAGAGTAGTACTCAACCACTTGAGCCACATCTCCAAGGCCCGTTTTTTTGCTGGTTATTAGCTAACATTACTTGGGGAAGGGGGATTTCATTATTATCTTTCTACATGCTTACAATGTTTCAATCATCTCATACCCTCTATCACGCTCTCTTCCCCTTTCCAAAACAATTGCAACAGGTTCTGTATTTTGCTGGTTATTTTTGAGCTGGGATCTCACTTCCCATGTAGGTTCCTCGCTGAGCCTCAATCACCTACTTTAGGCTTCTCATTGTTGCTGGGACACCATTAAGTCCAGCTTTCCTCTGTGGAGATGGAGTCTAGTCTGGCTTGGAACCTCTCAGACTCCCACATACATAAGATATAAATCATAACTGAAGCCAATATAAATGAAAGGGAACCTCGGCACTAATATTCATAGACAGCTGAGGGAAGAAACAACTGGTAACCAGATTTCTGGCTATAGCTAGCCAAATAAAAACACAATAACCAAATAAAAACCATAAGGCTGACAAGTCTACAATCACTGAGCTCAAGGTATTTTTAATACATTAGATTATACATCAAATTTTTGTTGTTGGTGGTGGTCGTAGAGCTTGAACTCAGGGACCCTGACAC